TGGGCTGCAGTGAGGCGACTTGCTCTCACGTACATGTCCTACCTTGGCTCTCTTGTCGAGAGCTCATCGATATAATCGACTTGTTCCTTCGGCAACAGCCACTTCCTGGTCACACAATACTAGGTGCCAGGTTACAGGTCAGTCTGGCGCCTGATGCCCCTATCGGCCGGTAGGCGGCTCGGCACTTCTGCTGGAAACACATTACGGTGTTTCCACAGAACATCATAGAACGGGCTGTCCTTCAAGGCATCCCAGCCTTGAGAAGCGAACCGTTTCTTTTTGTTGGTCTCCAAGACTCTCTCATCCATTGTGGACTAAGAGCAACAGTCCACCACGTTCTCTTCTGGAACTTGTGCGACTATCTCGTGAATCTTTCCTTCCTTTAGTTCGGACAGGAACAGATCCCACTTCATCTCCGAGAGATTTACTATCTCCTCGGCAGATTCCAAGACAAGTTGGAGCACATCAACTGAGGATGCCTCCGGCATCTTGTCTTCGACGGCCTCGAACAACTCGTTCGTAGTTCCGTCCTCTTGTACCGAGACACGTTACAAGGGTCACTCGTTTCGACGTGCCCTTGATCGTCTTAGTACGTCTTGTGCTCGTTGTTCGAGTCACCACGACCTTTGACCTGGAAGATGGTGTCGTTTCTATAGCAGCTCTTCCAACCGCACCAGGCTCATGGCTCTGCGCCGGTTCTAGTGGCACTTGACTTCTTGTCAGACCACTATCAGCTTCCACATGCTCTCGGCTCTGTGCAGGACCATTGGACGCATGACTACCTGTCATCGCCCCATTCACTACACCAGTCTGTTCGACCTGGGTAGAAGTATGTGTCACCTGCCTTTCTGCCAGGGCACTTCCAACTGCACCACCCCTTTCGAGCTGGGTAGTACCTGGTGACGATTGACATACCGTCATCGCACCCTCGTCTGTATTGGACACAAAATCAATCGCATAAAAATTTCGCAAGAGCACATACTTTCCGGTGTCCTGCATAGATTAGCGACTGTGCATGTACGCCAGTCTATCCATGGTTGGTGTTTAGCCAACCAAGGCATGCCTAGGATGAGGTCATACGGACTCTCCATACCGAGCACTGTGAGAATCTCTTTACAAGAGAAGTCACTAAAATTGAAGGCGAGTTCAACTTGAACTCCCTCCGATTTGACGAGCGCGCCGTTCGCTAAACGAACGACCGCCTCTTCTCGCTTGCCATCCTGGCAAAGTGACTCATAACTCGCCGGTCTCGTTTTCAGAGCCGCGAGTTTCACAAAGTTTTGTGATGCACCCGAATCAACGAGAAGGGTCATCACTTGGTCATAGCCTCGTACTCGAGCGTTATAGACCAAAGGGTTGAGGTCCGACCTTTCGGAACCTCAGGGACTATGCTACCCATTTGTTCGACCACTCTGAACTTAAGGGTAGCTTCAGAGTCCGCAACAGTAGGGCATCCCGCCCCCACTAAGTTCCTACATTTCCCGATCAATGTTAAGCAGGTTCTGAACCCGTGCGTCGTGCACGCTGGTTTGTCGCACCTCCCTTCGGGTTGGGAGACCTTTTGCTGGGTGCCTTAGCACCATCATCTACCTTGGCGTAGCAGCGAGCCATCATATGGCCTCGCTTGCCGCACTTGTAGCAGATCACATCTGCATTGCCTAACTCCATAGGAGTGGCATCAGACCTTTCGGTCGACGGCATGTAATAGGCTGTCGCCGAGGCGCTGTTGTAAGATTGCTCCTCAACTAAGGCAATGTCAATTGCCTCTTCCATCGTCATTGGCACCTTTCTAACAAGGGCCTGACGCGATGGGCCGTGCCATAGACCATTCATGAACGTGGCCACCTTGATACGTTCCGGTATCGGTTCCCCATTAATGGAAGCCGACAGCGAACGCATCTCCTGCACAAACTCTTGCAGAGAGCGTTTCGCCTGTCGTGCTCCAAAGAAGCGCGCCATAAGCAACACCTCGTTGTAAGGCGGCTGATACATGGCGCGAATCTTTGCCTTAAAGATCGCCCATGATGGAAATGCATCAGCATTAGCCATCAGCGCAGAGTATGCCCACTCTGACGCTTTGCCACGCAAGTTGGACATGGCATACGACACCATTCTGGTGTCGTCTTCGATGAGCTGCGCCACTCCACATTTCTCCACTGCTAATAGCCAGTGAACAATCGTGTGAGGGCTAGTTCCATCGAACCTTGGAGGGTCCATCCGAATGGGCCTCGGTTGAGCAGGCCGGGCAGAGAGCGTCTCAACAGTCCTGTTGAGCGCCTCATTACGTGCCTGCTCACGCAAAATATCATCCTGAGTCTTAGTGATGGACTCAGCGGTGGCTTGGCTGTTTACCTCGGACGCGTTTCTACGCTGTCCGAGCACAAACGCCTCAAATTGCTCCAGCTGAGCAACATGTTTCTCAGGAGGACAATGCAAGAGGCTGACCAGGGCTTGTTCACCAAGTCCACATATGCTCTGCCAACTCCCTATGATGTTGGGAGAGGTGAGGGAAGTCACTCCAGTCCATATTAAGGACCATCTTAACCTCACGCACGCTCAGAGAGACGGGTCGTGGGAAGGACTACTAGTGCTACCAATTATAGACGGCACTTCTACGAATTTGCCTCGTGCTACTTAGCACACACCTTATGCACAAGCGAGGAAGCGGTTATACCGTCTTACCTTCGCGTGCGAGGGTGGTTGGGAGGTTGGTCGACTGCTTAAGCAGTCGTACCACCAGTTGCCTCTCGCTTAAGCGAGAGTGTAACGAACTTCTAAAGCAAGAAGTCACCGGCGTCACGCAGAAGCTTTTAGAGCTTCTCGTGCGCGGTGCTTTCGATTTAGCAAATTCAAGACTGAGCTATATTTAATGAATTATAATTAAATATATGCTTAACTACTGATTGGCTATATATATATAGATCGGATACGCGACTCTTTAGAAGCGTATCCTATCGCATGATCTTAAATCTATATTTAAGCTTGCGAATGACGTCCTTCTGGGACGTCGCGATGCCAAGCTTCAACTGGCGTCATCCCTTCCCTGTTGAATCCATATATGGATATCACATTCACGAGGGTGAATCACATTTGTGTATCGCACCCAAGTGACAGGTCAAAAGTAATCATGGATACTTTTAGACCAAACATTAAGTATATTACTTAATGTTTACGTGTAACTAGATGCCATGTTACAGAAGTGCCCTTGATGTGGAAATTGGGCTGGCTGTAGATAAAAAACTATAAAAAGTAGTAAATATATTGCACTTGTTGTAAAGGAGGTAGAAGTAATAGTGAATATATTGGAGTTAGCTTTCTCTGTACACACTACAACATGCACTTCACCGGCACTATAACTAGACCACGTCTTGTTTCCTATAGCGCCCGTCTATTCCGCCCATCACCACCCGATGGTCCCATGAGACGGTCTCGTCGTCTGGTCCCGTCTGTCAAGATATCTGATGATTCCTCGTGCCGATCCCGATCCCGTCGCCTCGTCCCATCTGTTAAGTTGTCACATCATTAGCCCATCAGGTAAGGTCGCATCTTACCTGTGACAGGTGTTGCACTGTATAATCAAAAGCTTGCCGACCTGTCAAAAAAGATATTTTCTAACTAAAATAATAGTCCGTTTTCGCTTAGAATGACTGGGGTTCTGTAAAAGTTTTAAAATGATATTATGAGTAGACAGATTTGAAACGCAATACAGTAGGACTATGATTTCCTCCGTCTGCCTGACCAAAATAAGTTATTTTAATGTCGTATTTTTTTGTCTTTTATTGACATTTTATCCGCTGACTACGTACATCGTATCAATGTCATTGACGATATCGTCGTTCTATATGTTGTATGTAGAGGACATGATTGTGTGGACTCAATCAGTTTACACGAACGTTAATTTATTAACATGACATACTTTATTGCTGTGCTTTCTAATAACAAAACTTTGCTACCCCGGGATGACATCAGGTCATTGTCAACGCAACATAATTGTAAACGCCTACATCACGACAAAGTGACATCAAGCTGTATAGTCCAATGCCGAGCTGATCAGAAAGCTTTACACTTGAACAGTGTAACAGCCACAATGACTCCATCTTGAAATTTGATGCGAAGGGAAGACGAATCGCGAAAAACGTATGAGAATGCGCTCCGTGACACACGATGTGTTAGGAAGCCAGAATAAAGTTAACATAAATGACTCGTATATTAACGCATGCCAGACGCGTTTCGGCCTCTCGTTTATGGCTTTGTCAAATTCCAAGTACGAAACACCCGAGCATTTTATTACATCCAAAGAAGCATCTAGAAGCCCCGAGAACATTCTAGCAGAGGTTGAAGCTCTGAAGCCGATACTGCACTTTCCATTATGTTCATTTGTCGGGTAACAAAAACCCGAGTCTGTTAATTATGCGAAACGCAGCTTGAGCTATCTACAAATAAGTGGATACTTTGTTACTAGGTGATGCAGCTGGTTGATGTAGCCGCTGCTTGACGTGTAAATCTCTTAACACGAGTCGCACTCAAAGAGCTCGGATCCTTCTTTGATCACTAATTCTGGCTACACTGCCGCTGCATGCATAAATCATGTCCGAATGTATGAGTTTTCGGACTGGCTTTCTTTCTTACTCGTTGAGAAGTGAATGTTGTTATGAAGAGAAAATGTTTGCAATTTACAACTATCGGTAGAAACGTTTGTTCATATTATGATACGCGTTATTCTGTACCAAGAGCCAAACTTACATGGCCATTCATAATAAATCGTGAGTATTTTTGGTGATGCAACATAGTTTATCAAGGACTTACCATCCCTCTGATCGAGCATGCGCCAGCAACGCAAAGCTCCCATCGCTTTCTTCGTGCAGGAGAATTGAAGAGACACTTATTTTGTTGGTGGCGACGAGAGGCAGTAAATGTCGGGCTCACTCCACAGACCATTTTTCATTTGACAATCTCAAGTCCAAGTCTCTCTTTCTCACCGTAGTGGTCGACATTTCACAATGTTGTCTGGTCTTCCTCTGTTTACTGCCGTTCTCATCGCAGTTGCCCGCGCAGGTCCATGTGATATTTACGAAGAGGCTGGGACGCCATGCGTGGCTGCCCACAGCACCGTTCGAGCTTTACTGGACGACTACAAGCAAGGTCTGTACCAGGTTAAACGTGAATCCGACCAAAAAACGCTTGACATTCTTCCCAAGACCTCCGGAGGCATCGCCGACGTTTCTCTACATGACGAATTTTGTGACGACACTGTCTGCCACATATCCATTATCTACGACCAGTCCGGCAAATCGAACCACTTGACCGCAGCCCCAGCCGGTGGAGCCAAGAAGAAAGCCGATCACCCTGCTGTCGCTAATCGTCTTCCGGTAAAGATTAATAAGCACAAAGCCTACGGCGTGTGGGTCGAAGAAGGCATTGGTTACCGCAACGACAATACCGATGGTATCGCCATCAAGGACGAAGCTCAAGCCATTTACATGATTGTGGACGGCACGCGCTCCAATGATGGCTGCTGCTTCGACTACGGCAACGCCGAAACTACTAATAACGATGAAGGGGCTGGGACGATGGAAGCCGTATACTTCGGTAAGAATAAATATTGGGGCCAAGGCAGTGGAACTGGTCCGTGGATTATGGCGGATCTCGAGGATGGTCTATTTGGGTGTGCCGAAAAATATTGCCCGTACCTTCCCACAGTGGAGTACCCGTTCTTGGTTGCCATGCTCAAGGGCCGCTCCGGGGGAACTTTTGCTCTTAAGCAGGGTAATGCTCAATCTGGACATCTTAAAACCATCTACGATGGCCCTCGGCCACCAAAGTATACTATAATGAACAAGAAGGGCGCTATTGTTCTCGGCATTGGTGGTGACAATAGCAACGGGGCTATTGGCAATTTCTTTGAAGGTTGTATCGTGAAGGGCAACCCGAACGCCGCTATCGACAACAAGATTCAAGAGAATATTGTTTCGGCGCACTACGGACAATAAGTTTAAACCCATGACGCGTTATCCGGCTAATAGTGGTAGTACTAAGCAGGGTGGAAGACTTTCCAAGACGGCATGGACCTGTAAAATCTTTTGCTTTCGAATTCTTTGCATATACTAAAGTCGTCTTTAGCCTGTTAGTCTATCGCCAATGATGGCGGCTGGTACCAATTGCTTGAGGGCACAGATAAATTTCAATCGTGCTCGATGACAAACTCTATTGCATGATGAGGATTGACTCTTGCTGCATCCACTCCATACGCTTGGGCCCCATCAAACATACATAGCACGATGTGCGGCAACATCAAGGTTCTGGCGGTCATGGACCGATGGCGACACCAGTGCGAAGCCAAGAAATTGGTTGCCGTTCTGCAGTTTTTGCGGAGCTATGTCAGCGCTCAACCTAGACGATCAATTACGGTACATTACAATGCTTCACCGTGCCGTTTTCATTGACGTTGATCCTTCGCCACTAATTTTTAGATGCTAGCGTGAAACGCAGACTCGAGTGAAGCGATTAAACGACACATGTTGATTAATGTAAGAAACTAGTCGAATTCGAAAGGAAGACGGAAAACCACCACCGTTCCGTTCGTTCGATACAACGATAGACTGCTGCCAACTGGAACTTCTGAAAAAGCCCCTCACGCTAAAAAGATCCGGCATTGCTATGAAACGAATGGGCTGCTTGAACGTACATACCCCCTTGCAAGCTTTGGAGAGATCTAAGAGTACGTCTTGAGTATGAAAAACATTTGGAGAAACGCAGATTTATGTATCACCCCGTAAATGGCCACACTGTTGGAATGAGTGCGTACATGCAGTCATGGCGTAGTGACGCATATTCTTTACGAAAGACCCCCGCAACTACCAAAGCGATCTATCTGCTTGCCCTATAACAATGAGTACTGACACTTTCGAGTGGAATTGTGACAGCTACACAGCCGAAACCGCGAAATGACGCCTTTGTAGGTTCTTGAAGGAGTTACCACAAATTTACATGAACGAAAAGTATCACGCTTCATGTTTGCTATTTTGGACCTTAGCAACAGGTATGAATGAGGCCATAGGAAAAGTGATTGTTAGGGAAGAATGTTTGCAATTTTTAATTGTACGTGTTCATGTTTGCCATCAATGGCTTTTCGTTAGAAAGGGCAAAGTTGGTCTATGAGATGGTGTTCTATTTGTATAACATCGCCAGCTTTACCATGACAGAACAGGCACTGCTATGAGCAGTAGCGCATTCATTACGTGGAGGCAAAATGTACGCTTTCTTTACTTCTGTCATTTCAATCTAACGGCTTGGTAAAAGACGAATGTTTGATTGAGACGGGAAAAAAGTTGCAAGAAGGTAGCGATGACATAAAGAATACAGGGACGAAAATATTGTAAATGTAGTGTGTAAAAGCCGTGCGTAGAAGGCGACTTTTTTTTTTACTTGAAATAACCCACTGATTCACCCACATTAAAAAAGCCCATATTTTCGAATAAGTACGAGTGCGAAAAGGACAATCAAACGAACGTAGGGTGTCACCCAATCTCTTCGCTCTCTACGGCCTTGTGTTGGGACGACCAGCTAAACGCAAGACATTCTAGCATATATTTCATCAACGACACGTGCCTTCTTGTTATTTTGATTTTTCGTTGGTGTATTTATTTTTCATATTGACTGAATTATCGTGGTAAAAGCAGCGAGTCCCGTGCAGCGGTCACGTACTGAAAGAATGACATGTTTATGGCATCGAAGCGTCGTCAGATGGCCTCATTTTTGTCGACGTATAAGTTTAAGCAGCAGTAAAAGACGCCGTGGAGGTTGTACAGTCCAATTCTTTCTGGTTGCGACGTTTTTTGCCATTCTATTGACCAGCTTAATTGCTGTAGAACCTATTGTTCATCAAACACAACCAACCCCAATGAGCTCATATATTGCTGGCTCACAGTTACGAATGTGGTGGGGTGAACGTGGTGACGTCGAGCACGCGGTGGCACAGCTTGGAGGCGTTCAATGGTGTTCAGAAGGCGTTAATGCCCGTGTAGACAGTGAGCTTCTTGAGGATGAGATGTTGAGCTCTTGCAGACAGGAGACAGCTGATTATGACGTTATGGATCTTTTACATCCTTCACAGGAGCTACGAGTGCCGTCCGAGGAGCAAACATCGAGGTTGTGCAGATCAGAGGCATGTGTTGCTTGGTTGAAGATGGCTGTAGAAGCGCAGTGGCTGCCTGAGTGCAAATATCGACAATCACAGACAACTTTTCGCTCATTGGCAGAGACGTTGCTTCGGATCCGAGGGAACTTGGTGGATACATTTGTGGAAGGAGTAGTTGTGGCTCCGAACGCGAGCTTATTTCGTGAATTTTATGAGCTGAACCAGCTCGCCAATTTGCTTAGTGCAAAGAAGGAGGGCTTGTTGAATGAAAAAGAGTCACCGATTCCGCACGTTGCTAGACAGATGACAGCAATAGAAGACGCCAGGTCGGCGGGATCAAAGGACGACTTGCAGTCCACCGCTGTAGTGGAGCCTCCAAAAAAGTACAGCGGCACTAGTACCTCTGGCACATTTAGCACTCCCAGCAGCGGCTCAATTACACCCAGCGGCTCTGCCAATCTCAGTAGCTCTACTACCGCCAGCAACTCAAGCAGTGTCGAAAAAATTTCGTCCGGCAGTGACATTAATTCGAGCGATGCTGCCGGCTTCACAAATAGTGCCGACGGTCCGCACGCTTCTTCGACCGTCACAACTACAGAGCTCACGCCATCATATGCTTACGTCATTGGCGCCTGGATCCTATTTAACGGCAGCTTTTTTCTTTTGATGCGAAGAAAGTGACCATTGGCTCTATACGTCATCGTTCACCATGTTAGCTCCTACTTTCTAGTTTATCATCACACTACTATTTTATCTTCCTCGTTTCTTTTTCCGTATCATAACAATTCCACACCAGGAGTCCTTTAAGCCTCTTCAGTATGATATTGACGTTAGCGAACATTGATACATACTTCTTCTCACCAAACTTTTGCTTTCTGCCATCGCTTTGATAGTAGTGGCGTATAACTCAAAAACGCGAACAACTACAAAAACTAACCTTTCTCCATGGCCGACGGCGATGAAAAGACATGAATGCCGCTGTCGCTTACACATCGCTAGGATGTAGCTGGTCATTTGTGCTGAAGTTGATGACACGTATGATAGAAGCCGCGATAGTATTGTCTTCCAAGTTTGTCGTCGAGGAGCTCCTCGAGTCTGTGCTGGGACGGGTGTAGGCCGCACTCCTCCAGTAGTAAAGCACGTCTTCGCGCCTTATCAGCTATACATCTTGATCATCCTCCCTCTCATCAGGAAGATAGATATTCTTACACGTTTCGCACTAAGAGCACAGCAAAACGACACATCAATAACACAACCTTTAACCACACCTCGATGTAGAATGTCGTACATGCATTGACAGCGTGCAGTTGACAAAAGCACAAGACGGAAAGGACCACGGCTCTGTTGGTACCAGAATAGATTTCTTGCCCAAAAATTTAACATCAAATCCGCGGTCATACGTTAGGATGAAGCAGGCGATGAGCACATTGACAGGGACGATGTCCGGTCGATGACGCTTTCCCATGGAACACGTCCACCACCACCAGTAATGCCATCAGCAAAATTACTCATATGCGCAGTTGCTGCCGTATCCACCTGCAATGCCGTCTGCAAGAAAATTGCTGCCGAATCAAGTAAGAACTGTGGCCGCGAACTGTTGTGGTCTCCATCTACCTTAACCAAATTCTTATCTCCACCGTACGCCGCAAAGATCTGGTCGCTATGATGCGGTGCTATAAACGAATCGTGCTCTGCAGCCACAAACAGCACCGGTACAAAAGACATGGCAGCATGATCGATTGGGGAAATACGCCGCAAGTCAAAATGCGCACGCTTTTTTACCGACGAGCGAATGAACTTGAGTACAATTTTTACCAGAAAACCCGGTAGTGTCAATCCTTCCTGACGTCCACGGTCCACAACCTCCTCCACAAGCTGCCCAAGGCTAGCAAATGCGCTATCCACAACAATTCCCGCAATTGACGGGTCTCTATCGGCATGCAAGAGCGCTGTTGCTGCTCCCATACTTCTGCCCCATAGAGCTACTGCGCCAATATTCATCTTGGTTCGAAGATGCGTCACTACGTCGCTCAAATCGTCGCGTTCGTAATACCCCAGTGAAATATACTCCCCATCGGATTTTCCACATCCTGCTGTATCAAAAGCAGCAACCGTAAGTCCAGCAGCCAAGCACGTTCGTAAAACTCCCAACGCCTCCAATCGACAAGATGAATTGCCGTGTAAATAGACTACACACGGCATCATTTGCGTCATCGACGGTGTCGCTGGTCGCCAATGCGAGCACACAAGCTTCTGTCTGCGGTCATTGACTACAACAAAATCTTCGCGAATAAAGACCTGTCCAGCAAACGAGAATTCCGTAGGTCCTAGATCCTCCAAATCGTAGTCTGTGCGTGGCGGTCGAATGATCAGATGCACCAGTTCCGTGTATCCGTGCTTGATCAAGTACCAATAGCTAAGCTGCGATGACGTTTCCTCTATTACCTCCTGACCTTTTTCAATACCACCTCTCTCTCTCTGCATTTCTTCATCACTACTAGAGCTGGAAATACTGGAATATCGTCGAGAAGGTCGTGGCCGTGGGACGTAACATCGATTTTTCGTAGCTACGACTTTTCGTTCAATTACGGTGGACGCAGAACGTGTTTTGTTACGTATAGATATCATATCGACATCAAAAGGATCTACATTTGACTGTGATGGCATTGAGCGTCTCGTAAAAGATGAAATATCGGACCCAGAAAAGGAAATATCACGAGACTCGGAATTGCCCATTTGTAGTCGATATAAGCTTGATACTGGTCCTTAGAGAGCGATTTAATCAGCAATAGACGAATAGAAAGATAGAGGAGACGAAGTAGAAGAAGATGAATGTATGTGGAGAAACTAAAGACGTCTGCGAGGACGCCACAAGCTGTTAAAGAGAACAGACGTCCGTCACTCGTGCAGGTATGCAGTTTTGCGTCTTGATGTTGTAATTTAGTCGAGGGGTTGGGGTTCTAAGCGCGTTTTTGACGAATCATGTATCGTTTTGCACAGAATTTGAGCAAATGATAACTAGGTTTATAGTAGATTGGTACTGACTTGACCTTGGATTGCCAGTTGTGTAGCCTGTCCTTATTGACTTCTTGTCTGACTGCAAGTTGAGATAAGATTCAGAAAGGGGCAGTAATGTCTAATTGGCAACTGACGTTGAGCATTTTCAAGTAGAAACCATTGGGTTTTTTGTCTGTGTTAATGGTCTTGAACGCCATGTGCATCTATTGATACTGAACTTTGTTATCACGATATACGACGTATCGAAAGAGGTCGCACTGCGATTTGAATGGACGGACCGACCGATAGCACCGAGCGTTGCTTTACAATGAGCAAAAAAGAGTAATCAATTTAACGAGTACTTTACTCAACCGCTTTCTATATATTTTGAAGTCGCAATTACATTACGTAGCAGGTCATATGTAGTAAAATGACAGCTTCTAACGCCTTGCAGCCCATTTTTGGTACCCTGCCTCACTTCAAGGCGCCACCTGCCCCCTGCATGTGCTCAAATTTAATCGAATAATTCCGCGTGTCTTTTACGAAGTGTCTATGTTACAACCTAAAGTCTCGGGCCAGCAGACTGAGCCAACGAGGAGAAGACTGATGAAGTTCTGGTAAAAGCATTTTGATATCGTATAGTCAGAAGCACTTAAATGACGTTCTACACACAATCATCTCTCAAGGAAATGTGTTTCACCTAACCATTAAATCTGACAAAATTACAAAAAACGATGTGAGGGTATCATTCCTCAGATACCGCCATGTACCGGTACAGACGTAATTACGCTATAAGAAGTGCTGGTCTTTTTACGATACGGTCCCAACCAGTGGTTGGTCCTTAGGGTTTAGGGATGGGGCTTTCACCTGTGGATTTCATTCGACTGAGCACGTAATTTCTGAAATCGGACTAAAAGACAGGTAGACTTGATTCTTGTTGTACGTTTGAATGTCTCTAGTTGACACTCTTTTGCCTTTTTGTACCTGAATGTTATAGACCTTAGCAACCATGGTGAACATGCCAAAAGAACGTCGCACTTACTGCAAGGACAAGAAGTGCCAAAAGCACACGGTCCACAAAATTACCCAGTACAAGGCCGGTAAGGCATCCAAGTATGCCCAGGGTGCGCGTCGTTATAACGACAAGCAAAAGGGTTTTGGTGGACAGACTAAGCCTGTTTTCCACAAGAAGGCAAAGACTACCAAGAAAATTACGCTGCGTATGGAGTGCAAGGAGTGCAAGACCAAGAAGCAGCTGCCCATGAAACGGACGAAACATTTTGAACTTGGTGAAAAGAAGAAATCGGCTGGTCACCAGTACTAAGTGCTGTTGTACTGGCTTCTCTTGTCGCGGTGGTCTGTAGACGTCGACAGTGCTTGGAACTTTTTGACTGGCTAGGGGTTGAAACTGCAATGATGGTGACAACTATTGGCAAGTAATGAATGGTTCTCGATGATATTGTCACAATCTACGATGATCAAAGCTTCAGTGACAGGTAAATTGATACTGAGAGGACTTGCGTGGTGGTAGGCCTATCTGCTAATGTGGATGGAGAGCTGCAGTTGAGTCCTCAAGTTCGGTAGTGCCTTAAAATCAAAGCTATGGTCGTATTTTAGTCCTGAAAGATCCTTTGTGTCCAACTTTTTGGTTGTCGCCGTGTCAGCCCTTGATTGTTTGCATTGTTGCAGGGAATACAGGAGACAGGTAAGAGCTGCAATTGCGCTGTACAGGTGCAGCAAAAAGCAGATATAAGAACGACGAGATTGTCAGGTTTCTGCGTTTGCTCTTGTCTCTCTTATAAAAAGACGCCCCTAAAGCAATGCTGTCTTTCACGCCATCTACCATTTATACGCAGAGCGTCCATGTCTGCGTTTTTTTGGTCCTGTCTTCTACTCGATGATCGCGTACTCGCGGCCGAAAAAGTTGCTGGAAGTAAGCGCGCGTTCACTATCGTTATCGTTTGATTCGGTGCCATGCTCGCGCATGTCAAAAACATTTTAGTGCTCGGACCTGCCAGTGTGTGCTTCAGCGTCCACATGCATCACATGATGAAGCCATATGTTCAAAGAAGAAGTCGGACCCACTACGTTAAAGCAGTAACGTCAGGCTGCCGTCAGTCCGTCAAAATTGGTAGCACAGTCACACGGTCATACCTGGATACGCTTCACGCAAGGTGACATTCTATATAAACTCGAAGCTGTTGGCTGAGCAGCAGTGCAAGTTTACTCTTTCGAGTGCCACATGAGCTTGCTCATATTTTTCCGCGAAAATGGAAGCATATTGCCGCGCCAGCAATTTGTGCACGATCTTGCCATCAGCTGCGCATGCTTTTCCTCCCTGAAAGACTTGCCGTCTTGTGACTTTTGGCCAACCTGATAAAATACTGCATCCAGCAAATCGCACAGGCTGCACACGGAAATGTAAGTGGAGCTGAATATGCAGATTTTCTTGTCGCGTGTTTCGTTACCTGTCTATGGAATACCTGGCGATATGCCCACAAAAAACCTTACCACGATACTACTCAAGGGGGTTTTTAAAAAGGGGGCCTCTCTTTTTAAAAATTGAGGGTTTCTTTCTCTCCAACATGACCTTTTCCTTAGCATCCATACTAAACCTTTTACGTAAAGCAGTGACTTCTGATTGTGCCTTGTCTCTTTCAAAGCGTATCATTCGTGTCCATTTGCTTCCATCGTTAGCGGTAACGCCTCTCGGCTTGTTGCCGTAAATGGTAGTTTTCACTTCTCCAACTGTAATTTCAATACTTGACGCACTAACACCAGCACGTAAATCGTGATGAAGCATACAAGATAATCGACTTTTGTTTCCCCCCATTTTGCCAGGACGAGCGTTAGAGTTTGTAGTAGCGGCTCGTTCCTAGTCGTAAAAGTTCATGCTTTCCATTTTTTAACGCAAACTTGATCTAGCTTTGGCGATATTGGCCTCGAACGCGCTTCTCGCAACTCCTACTTTAGTACTCCACTAATTTTGCTCGACTACACTATTTCGTCGTAGAGGATGCATCCGAGTGGATTTCTACGCGGACCAATTGATGTAAAAGTTGGAGTTTTATACCTTATGAAATTGAATTGCAGCAATACTACGTGTATGCGCCTGGTATCTGTAAGAAGTGAATATCCGACTGCAACTCAATTAAGTGGATATGCTAGTGTCCTGTTGCAAATTATCAAGATTGATTTAATCGCACAGCATTAGGGGTTCCTAACAAAGATACTTGCTTTCTTCGTTGCTTCCGCATTGCAGTCGTCGTTCTTATCAACTTCACACTCTGAGTCATGAACGAAGCAGTTAGCTTTGGTATTCGACAGGACTTCAGCTCTTGATTGAAGCGAGGATACTTGGTAGTAGACCTTTAATGTGCATTCCGTCATATGGATCGTTCGTACCCAAACAGAAGTACAAACTGGCATCCGTTGGACTCATATTGAACGCGGGCATCTCTTCGACGCAAGACTTATCAAGAAGCGTCAAATCGCCGTCATTGGTCACGTATGATACCAGTAGCTTCATGCCGCAACTGTCCTTGTCTTCGTTTATTGGATATGGCAATAAGGCGCTTATAGCGGCGTACTCAAAAGTAACCAACTCCTTCCTCTCGCCGATAAGTGCTTCCATCAAACTTTTAGCATATTTGTGCGGCGTCACCGGGTCCAATTTACCGCTCAGCAAAAGAACACTAGCCTGAGGAGGAATCTTAGCACTCTTGTTCCAGTATTTGTCGACTTCGTAAATAATGCCGTTGCCGCGGTAGTCTCCTAGACTAAGTTTGTCGCATACAGCCGATTCTTCTTTCGAGAAAGCACAGTAGATCGGGACGTCTGAATACACTAGTGCAGGCGATATTGACGCGTCCGTGACACGTGAGGTCATTTCTGCGATCGATGGCGTCGGTTTTTCCCACATTTCAGAATAGTTGACGAGATATTCAAGCAGAGGCGATACAGGCGCACTGTCGTCGCCTCGTTTAGATTGAACTGCTTTCGAAACCTTGAAGAAATGCTTCAGCACGCTAATATCTTTGGGCTCACAACGATTCAGTCTGTAGACAATAGGAGGGATTATTGTGCGCAATGCTAGCGTCCGGAAGAATGGCTGACAGAGCCCGACGCAAAATGTATGAAGCTGGTTCACTACTCCAGCCGCGATTCGAATCGCTCACAAGAGCAGCACACGTCGATTTTGGATTTTCGTCGATATGTGTGATCACATCTTGAAGCGTGGCTGGCAGACTTTTCAGACTCAAATCGCTCGTTGCACTCGCTTATTTTCCGCGCATAATGCCATGAAGGCATCACCCACCTCTCCAAAAGTGGAGTCAGAAGATGAATAAAACAGGGTTTTGTCTCGCGATGCACCCGATATCCCGGCAAAACCATCCAGAACATACCCCGTCACTTCAGGGGGACTCAGATGAATTAAACGTTCCACAATCAAAGTACCAAAGTTCAAACCACACACGATCGTGTTCAAACCATTCGTAAAGCCAGAAATGAAAGTTGCCACATCTGTCGCAGCGCTTGTGATTGAAAATGAAGCAAGGTCTCCGTATTTCTTTTCCAATTCGTGAGCACATGCTGGGACTTGCGATATTTCAAAAGAATTGCCCTGCGGAGACCCGGTGATATTAATCGGCATTGTGACGCAATCCAGGCGAGTACTATGACCAGATCCACGTTGGTCCATCGTATAAACATTCACCAATCCATTCAATCCTGCGTGTATCGCTATCAAAAAATATTTCAAAGAAAGTTAGTAGCATACAGGGACTACATCAACTAAATCAACGTGCGCCTTACAACTAGCAGAGACATCCGAGTTTTCTTGCAATAGCCAAAAATTAGATGCAGCTTCTGGGTTCCTTACAGCTAGTATCCGCTTCACGAAAACATTGACTGTCGAATGCACATGCTCTGGTGCCTCACAAATTTCAGGATAACAAGGCGGCGCTTTGTGGAAAGCGCATTCAGCTTTTTCGACAGCGGAGTCTCCGCTTGCTGTGAAGGTGTCGTCTGAGCAGGCAAACCATCCTTTCAAGCGACTGTGAGAAGAAGATCTTCAAGCAGCTGAGGCTTGAGTGATCATCGCTACCAGTGAGATGAAGTGGTAAAGCTTCATATTGTAATGCGGGTGAGAATGCAACGAGGTGAGGCGAGGCGAGGAGTGAGCAGAAGCAAGTGTGCAACTTGTTGGTCAATTGCAAAAGTGATTGATTGAGCCTTCGTTCGGCAATGCATGCAGTTTACGTCGAAGCTCACAGCCACAAGGAATCTCGTGGAATGTCTGCTTTTTTTCCCCCCACCCCCCCCCCATTCACTCTCCAATCTGCGCAGCACGAGCGGTGAGTATAAAAGAGACAGACTGTCACAGCAGACTTTGTTCAGCAACGCCCCGTGAGTTCATCCCATGGCCGACCCTCCTCCTGACAACGGGACGGAAGACAATGGTGAAGTCTCAGGACGGCCAGTGCCACCTCCAGCGCCACTTCCGCCTCAAGTATCCCCTAAGTCTTCGCAGAAGGCCAGGGAAAACGACTGGATGGCATCAGACCCGCACCGATCCGATGAAATATTGAAAATGGACGGGGACCGAATTATTTCCAGTCACTCCTTCACGAATGTCTCCGCCAGATCTGGCTGGCCAACAAGCGCAGCCCAACCGGGTACCACCACTGGTATTAAACCGGGCGCGGAAAGATTAGTACGGGGCGATCAACCGAATCCAGGGGTTCACGATTTCTCGAAGAGCGGAGGGAGCACTACGGAGCGCCCCGAAGCTCCTATGGCTGACGAGGAAAGTGGTATCCATGCAGCCTTAGTAGATGAGATGAAGGCCCACCCCGACGAGGGTCCGCTCGATCCCTGGCTTCACTCCATTTAAGCAATGTATACTAGGGCATCGGACCATTTCGCGGTCAACAAGGATAAATTACCCGTCGAGCGGCAACGTTATCCTCGCTTGACCAAGGCAGAGCGAGTAGCATTACTCACCTTATTTGAACAAGCTTGTATCGTTGGAGTACAAGGGGAGGAAGCATGGAACCGAACGCTCCTACCAGTAATTAAGGACCTTTACGTAACGAAATGGGCTTTTGTGGAAATAGTTCGCAAACACGTCAGTCGGCTCAAGTGGAAGCAAGCACCGGTTTTAAGTCAGTGGTCGGCCAAAGTTAAACAAGGCACGTCAGCAGCTACCGGATGTTCTTCTGCTTCATCGCGTCAAACATACTCGCCGTACATGTTCAATCCGGCCAAGTACAAGCCGGACGAGATAGTAAAGCTTACAAGAGTATGCGAATCTTCTTACAAAGGGGCTTTTGGGCAGAAGTACCGAGATGGAACCGCAGAGGAGTGGAGGGTTATCGACGGCCTGGCAGAAGGATCCATCGCGTGCCGCCAACTCCCTTCCTTCGTACAGAGTATAATGGATAGTACCGAACGCATCCGGCTGTTTAATACGATCGAAGCACAGGTGGAGGGAGAGCTGATTATGACGTTACAACGCCATCATCATATTCGTGTCAGTAGGCAAAGCACTCACAGCATCATCACTGCGATACTGGAGTCGGCTGAGTTGGTACGGGTCAACTTATCAGCGCTTCACGCGCTGATAAGCCAGACTAAGAAGATTATATACGACAAGGTGACCAAGTCAATTCACTTTTTTTCTTTACAAGGGATACGGCACGCAAGCATCAGAGTGTGACTATTCCGTTTCGGGGTGGTAGCTATTCACTAGCTAACCCACATGGGCCACACCATGGAACAGTATGGGACCGACAGCGTGGTCCAAATGGTGACCAAATGCGGCGGCAGGCAGAGTATACGGTCTGTATACGGAATCTGACCCGATTTCACGACATCGGAAAGCTTATGGCTTTTCTTAGAAGCAAAATTCATACCCCATTTGAAGTAGAAGATATGGATACGTGCACGCCGGATACCCGAACGTCGACGATGTGGAAGCTCACTTTCCAGCTGGCGGGTTGCCCGATTTTTCTACAAGGGGTAGTAAGAATCATATGGTTTGGCGCCATTCTTATCGTATCTCATCCAAACGTTGGGCGACGTTTACAATGTCTACAGTGTGGTAACATTGGTCACCCACTTGCGCGTTGCAGTTTCTCTGACGCCCAACTTCGGGGTCCTGGCGCCATCGTGGCTGCCGAGCAGGACATAGCCGATCTAAGCGACACCACACGGCCTTTTGCTAGTCTCAAAGAGCTTAGGGACACCGTTCGCGCACGTATTGCCGAAAACCGCCTGGCTCAGGAGACTCACAGAACGCCGGGAACTCAGACGACTGCACCTCCGACCCACGCAGGGCAGTCTGACTTCAATCGAGAGCCGCAGCGAAACCTAAAACCGGTGGATAGAGAAGAGGGAACTTTACCTGCGGACGTAGAGCTTCAACCAGAACCCAAGGAACCACAGCCGTGGATTACCCACAGAACTCAAAAGGGACGAGTTTCTACGGGACGTGCAGCGAAATCAAAGACAAGTAGCGACAAGGGCACTAATCGAGAAAATATTTTTGTGGAAATCAGCGAAAACCCACAACCGACTCCCCAAACACCCGCCGGGCCGAGTAGTACGGGCGTTCCTGATGAAGTGGCCGAAGTTACGGTCACTTCGGCGCAACCGATCCTATCTCCATCTGAAGAGCTACTTCGTAAAGAAGGTATGGCGAGAGGACAGTTTCCACAAATACAAAAGCATTTGCTGCTTAGTCGTCAGACGAAATATCGGGAAACATTTTCGACGATGGTGCAGGCCAGTTGCGGGGGTCCTTCGGAGGTGGGTTTACCTGGTCCCATGCTAACGGCAGTGCCTCAGACTTTTGCAGCAACAATGAAAAGCCTGGGGCTGCGAGATGTAGTGACACCGGCGTCCGGTAATTGTCTGGCCATGGCAGTAGTGCAAGGTGCAACAGGGGCAGACCTAGCCGAACCAACTTCCAAGCTAGAACAGCTGACGGCAACCCTTAAACTAGGGGTTAAGGAGGTCGGGCTTCTTAATTTAGAAGACCGCATCCCGCATGATATCCGGGTAAACATTAAAAAAAATGTTAATCGAGCTTGGCCTGCCATGACGCGGCGAGAGTCACTGAGTCAGCTCAAATGGTTTTTGGAGGACTACGCATCCAGTCCTTCGAAACGAGACGCGGTCATTGCAGAGAACACATGGGGTGGAAATGACATTATCGGACTTGCAGCAATGTTTTTACGTCGAAACATATACGTGCTTGAATTC